ACGCCCCACCCTTGTCCTTGCGCGACGCAGCCCACGCACCCCATTGACGTCCATCCGCCTAAACCTGTCGATCCAGGACCAGTCACTCAGCCCATAGGCGTGGGACGACCTCCACAGCCTGCTCCGGTTCAACCCATAGGTATAACATGGCCTCTTCCTGTAGGTGTAGATCCAGGACAGCCTCATCCTGTGGGAAAACCTCCTCAACCCGGGAGCTCAGGACGACCTCCTCATCCAGGACAGCATCCTCACCCTGTAGGCATAGGACGACCCCCTCACCCCACTCATCCAGAACGACCCCCTCACCCCATTGATCCAGCACGACCTCCTCACCCCATTGATCCAGGACGACCCCCCCACCCCATTGATCCTGGACGACCCCCTCACCCCATTGATCCTGGACGACCTCCTCACCCCATTGATCCAGCACGACCCCCTCACCCCATTGATCCAGGACGACCCCCTCACCCCATTGATCCTGGACGACCCCCTCACCCCATTGATCCAGGACGACCCCCCCACCCCATTGATCCAGGACGACCCCCCCACCCCATTGATCCTGGACGACCCCCCCATCCCATTGATCCAGGACGACCCCCTCACCCCATTGATCCAGGACGACCTCCTCACCCCATTGATCCTGGACGACCTCCTCACCCCATTGATCCAGGACGACCCCCCCACCCCATTGATCCAGGACGACCTCCTCACCCCATTGATCCAGGACGACCCCCCCACCCCATTGATCCAGCACGACCCCCTCACCCCATTGATCCAGGACGACCCCCCCACCCCATTGATCCTGGACGACCCCCTCACCCCATTGATCCAGGACGACCCCCTCACCCCATTGATCCAGGACGACCCCCTCACCCCATTGATCCAGGACGACCCCCTCACCCCATTGATCCATCACGACCTCCTCACCCCATTGATCCTGGACGACCCCCTCACCCCATTGATCCTGGACGACCCCCCCACCCCATTGATCCAGGACGACCCCCCCACCCCATTGATCCATCACGACCTCCTCACCCCATTGATCCTGGACGACCCCCTCACCCCATTGATCCTGGACGACCCCCCCACCCCATTGATCCAGGACGACCCCCTCACCCCATTGATCCATCACGACCTCCTCACCCCATTGATCCTGGACGACCCCCTCACCCCATTGATCCTGGACGACCCCCCCACCCCATTGATCCAGGACGACCCCCCCACCCCATTGATCCAGGACGACCCCCCCACCCCATTGATCCAGGACGACCTCCTCACCCAATTGATCCAGGACGACCCCCCCACCCCATTGATCCAGGACGACCTCCTCACCCCATTGATCCAGGACGACCTCCTCACCCCATTGATCCTGGACGACCTCCTCACCCCATTGATCCAGGACGACCCCCCCACCCCATTGATCCAGGACGACCTCCTCACCCCATTGATCCAGGACGACCCCCACACCCCATTGATCCAGGACGACCTCCTCACCCCATTGATCCAGGACGACCCCCCCACCCCATTGATCCAGGACGACCCCCCCATCCCATTGATCCAGGACGACCTCCTCACCCAATTGATCCTGGACGACCCCCCCACCCCATTGATCCAGGACGACCCCCTCACCCCATTGATCCTGGACGACCTCCTCACCCCATTGATCCAGGACGACCTCCTCACCCCATTGATCCAGGACGACCCCCTCACCCCACTGATCCATGGCCTGTAGGAAAACCTCCTCAACCCGGGGGCTCAGGACGACCTCCTCATCCAGGACAGCATCCTCAGCCTGATGGCACAGGACGACCCCCTCACCCCATAATCTTCCCTCCCACAGTGTCCCCTCCCCCCCCAGTGTGCCTCTACCCTCCCCACCTGTGCACCCCCCGGCCCCCCACCCCCCGTCCTCCCCCCCCTCCCATTGACCAGTTCCCCCCGTCCGTGCCCGAACCCACCGACGTGCCAACCCACCCGACCATTCCCCCTTCGGTAATCGACACTCTGGGGGGTTCGTCGGAGTGTTGCGAATGTAAGGACGACGACGACGACGACGACGACGACGACAGATATCGGTCGAAATTAGTTTATTCGGCGAACCAGCTGGGAGACAGGTTAGTGGTTATTTGTTTCTTTTTTTGTTTTTGTTTTTATCATTACGTGGACCCTGCCTTCGTATATGTACATGATGTGGGCTTGTCTATTAGTTGTGTAGAGTCTCATGTTATTTACTTAGGGCTAAAAACTGAATATGGGTGTTTTCGTTAACAGTTCGTAATTATTGCACGATCAGGTGATTACAACACCCAGAAAATTCAAAGAATTCGCCTCAATGATATTGGTAGAATCCTGCTAGTGAGGTGATTTATATATGTCTTACACCTGAGGAGGTACATGCTATGTCGTAGTTAGTATTCAAATGAAGAAAAGTTTTGGTGTGGTGTTAATTAAAATGTGTGAGAGAAAAAAATCACTGTTGTTTCCAAGACATGTCTACTAGAAAGTCTCGGTCAACAGCTGCGATCTCATAAATGTGTGTGTGTGTATGTGTGTGTATGTAGGTGTATGTGTGTTTCTTTTTATGTGTATTTAAAATCTTCCCAATGTCCATAGCCAATTCAACAAAATTTCTGTTTCTAGGGCCCCCGTGGTGGTCGTGGTGGGCAACCCTGGCACCAACGACCTGGACTGGCTCTCACGGATTCTCCGGAGTGGCAAATAGAGTACGACACACGTGGGTCGATCTGCCTCCCCAACGTCTCATCGCTAAGGAAAATGAAATGAACGATTGTGGTTTATTGAAGGGAAAGCATGAAGGTTAGGAAGGGGGACAGCGGAGCCACATGCTAATCATTTGGGCATTTTCTCATGACACTGAGTTGGGGGATTCACACCAGTATTCCAAGGGCTCTGGCTCTGAAAGACACTGGAGTTCAATCTCTCTTGCGCGCTTGTTATTATGTACATTTCCATTTGATAGCGTAACCTGACATAATGCATTCATACTAAGAGTGTACAGGTGTGTCATATCTTCATTTTTATGTTAGTAATTTTACTCTTTTGCCAAAGTTTGTGGCATTAAAAGACTTTTTTTTAACTAACACAACTAACTGCAACTGAAGGAGCAGTTTGTTACGACTATATGTAGCGTGTTTGTGCACACGCTGAGAGAACTCACATTCCAATATGCTTTTAAAATTCTGTTACATCTAACTACCGAGTATGGAGTTAAGGTGCTTGTCTCCATTTATTACCAAAATTTCTTGTTAAAAAAAGACAAACAATCTTTGCTATATGAAATGCTGTAGCCCCGCAAATCTTTTCCAAATAATTAAGCTTCCAAAAGTATTCCCAGATAAGAAATAATCCTATGTAAGGAGCTTAACGAATGTGGCATTACACGTGTCTCTACACTGTAGGTTTTGCGATAACAATTCTTGTCGATATATGATAAAAACAAAATGTAATGTCTCTGTTAGCTATTGCTTACTGATAATCGACATATCATATTGTGTACTGTCCGATGTAATTATGTCGCTTTGTTTACATTTAATAATAAAGAGTAATAATAAACTGAATACGTTTTATTGAATATTCGATACATGAGTACATTTTAGATTATACAGATAGTTTGATACCAAGGTAATCATTTGTTCCTTTTCTAACTTTTTTTTTTTTTTTTTTTTTTTTTTGTCTGAATTGCGAAGCAGAGCCTCGCCCGGGCTATGCCCATGAGGGGAGCCCGGTTTTTTTTCTAACTGTGGTGAAAAAGAAAATGAGAAAATACAAAGTAGAAACATTAAGATAAACAAAAACGCAGAAAAAAGTGACATCAAAAGAGAATATACATCAGCCAAATTACGAACATAAAATATTCAGTTATTCAACGGCCTCTACCTACTGTTACAAAGACAAAGACAAAAAAAACAAAAAACAAAAAAAAAAAAACATTAGAACCACATACTTCAACATTCAATTTCTCTGCCATTGTTCACTAAATAACTAAGAAAAACAGACCGTTTGAAATCTGCCGAAATATCAACCGGACTGGGAAACGAATTACATCAAATTCGAATCTCACTGGCCAGACCGCCTCTCATTTTTCAGGTGTTTACAGTGCCAAGATGACGTCAGAAGCAGACATAAAATCAATAATATTAGAATATCGGATATTCTTTTCCTTTTTTTGGAAAGAAAGAGTGTACACCAATGAAGATGAAACAGAAATAAAAATGTTACAAGTTGAACTGTATCATCATTGCAAAAATCTTTCGAAATGTATATAATATAGGCCAACAATGTACACTCATATTATGTATAATGCGGATGATATGTAATACGTAACTATAATTGGTAAAGAAAGGTGACAATAGTTAATTAATATTGCCATATTGTGATACTGATAATGATGATAATTATAGAAAAATATGATAAAGACTACGTCGATAAAATTATAGAAATATACTAATACAAGGACACTAAATATTCTTTAGGTTCTAATACAGGCCCTAGCATACAACATAGCGCAACATATGTGTATATATGTATATATATAATATATATATATATATATATATATATATATAGAGAGAGAGAGAGAGAGAGAGAGAGAGAGAGAGAGAGAGAGAGAGAGAGAGAGAGAGAGAGAGAGAGAGAGTTTGATATACTGATAGATAAATAGATATGCATATACATACACACACACACACACACACACACACACACACACACATACACATACATATATATATATATATATATATATATATATATATATATATATATATATATATATATATATATATATGTATGTATATATATATATATATATATATATATATATATATATATATATGTGTGTGTGTGTGTGTGTGTGTGTGTGTGTGTGTGTGTGTGTGTGTGTGTGTTTGAATGTGCATGTGTGTGTATACATATTTATATATACATATATATATATATATATATATATATATATATATATATGCATATATATATATATA